ACGCAGTTGCCTGAAGATTTGGCAAAGCTTTTCCCCTCACCTCGCCTTTCATCAATTGCCCCACTTGCCTTTCCTCTGTTCACCAACGGGCACACGAAATTCCCGCCTGCCCAGCAGCAAGCAAGCATCTCTAGCCGCACAACCACGACCTGTCAGCTCAGCTCAGCACAAGCCAGTCTGGGAGAATCTCGTCTGGTCTGGCCCCCAGAGTCCAGACACTGTACTGTACAGTCTCAACAGGTTCGCTCGGCGCGGCAACCAGCTGCTGCCTGCCCACCAGCCCTTCCTTCCTAGCCTGCCCTTCCCAGCCTCTATTTCTGGTCTGGTTATGTGCTCTGCTTCCAGCAGGTCTGTCTCTCTGTTGCTCCTTCCCTCCCACACTCGTGTCTGCTGTACCTGTGCCCACAAAAGTGCAGGGAATAGGCTTTCTTTCCCAAAGAGGACTCGGACTCGCTCCTTCAAGCGCAACATCCAGCGTCGTTCCTTCTAGAGCCCAAGACGGTTTCTGGTAGTCTGAGCACGTTTTGTTGCTAGATTTGCGTGGCTTGGGTCGATTTCTTGACCCCAGACAGTCCGCTACAATGCCTGCTGTTCCGACGTCACCCCGCGAGTTCGACTTAAAGCGGAAACTCGCGGAGTTTCCGAACCAGCCTGATGCGGACTCCCCCTCTTCCAAGCGCCTCCGCGGCGTGCGCCAGCGCTCGTGGGGCAAGTGGGTGTGCGAGATCCGCGAGCCGCGCACGCGCGCGCGCGTGTGGCTGGGGTCCTACAGCACCGCGGAGGAGGCCGCGCGGTCTACGACACCGCCGCGCTCATGCTGCACGGCCGCGCACGGCGCGGAGCGCCGCCTTAACTACCCCGAGGCTCTGCTCTCTCCGGGGGGGATCCGCCCCGTTATAGTGACGCGCACTATAGCGGAAGGTCTGCTCCGCGCTGTCAACACTCTGACGCTGTCGCAGCAGTCGTCCGAGCAACGAGGGTCAACCAATCCCTCTAGTAACGACATGGTCGTCGACACCACTACTACAGTTGCTGCGAACCCGGCGACTGTTGCGGGCAGTGGCTGCACTGCTACTGCTACTACTACAACTGCTACTACGACCACGCCTAGCAGCGGCGCATCTGCCGCCGCAGCTACCGCTGGCGCAACTGTCGCCGCAAGTGCCGCTGGCCCGACCTTTTCGGGGGAGTGGGTGCGGCTCGAGGTGTCCGGCTCCAACGTGCTCTTCTCCGACTGCGCGCGTCCCGAGATTACCTCCTCCGCGATTCCCGGCCGCGTCGTCCCGGTCGCGACGTCCGTCGAGTCCCTGGCGAACCGAACTCCGATCTCTGACTCCATTTCTCCCTCGCGAGCCTCGGCGTTCAATCCGCCGCCGCGTCCGGCGTTTCATTAGCCGCCGAGTCCGGCCTCACTTTCGAGATGGGCTCGATTAATCTCTCGCCCACCTCCTCTGCCTCCCGCTCCCTCTTCTCCGCCACGCCTTCCCCCTTCTCCGCCGGTCCTCCCGCCGTCGTCGCGCCCTCCCGCCGCTCCTCCGCCCTGTCCCTCCCCGGAAGCCCCGCCAGCAGCGCCAGGGGGTACAGCCCGTCGCGCTTCCCCTCGCCCTCACCCCCGCCGCTTCTCTCCCCGCAGTTCCCCGGGCCGTCGTTCTGCACCCGCCCTTTCCCCCCAACCACCGCCCCTTCTTCCCCCCGCGCGACTAGTGCCTCCGTTTCCCCCGCAATGCCCGCATTCGCGCTTCCGCCTCCCGTTGCGCCAGCGTCGGATCTCTCGCGCGCATTGCTCGCGCATCCCAGCTTCGCGCACCTCTGCGCGCCCGCTTCAGCTGCCGCCGCGAATGGCGCACAACTGCCCACCGCCACTGCAGGAATCACCGCGTGTAGTGCAGCCGCGCCGGGTGCAGGTAGTATCTCCGCTTCAGCTGCTGCTGTGAGTGGGGTCCCAACGCACACTATGTTCAACGCACACAACCCCACCGCTTCCTCCACGTCCGCCGCTTTTACTGCTTCCGCGGACCCTCCTTTTGCTGGTCTAGGGAGTGTTAGAGGGGAGGCTGTATTCTCTGCTTCCGACAGCAACGGCAGATATGACAGCTCCGTTGATATGGCGGCACAGGAGGATAGCGAGTTCTTTAAGATCAGCAGGTCCTGTAACGCGGATAGCAGCAGCATGGACGCGTCGTCCCCTGATACCCCCCTGCAGCAGCTCCCAAGCTTCTCCTCTCAGCCTCTCGCACTATCGAGCCTGTCCTCCCAGCCTCTCGCACTATCGAGCCTGTCCTCCCAGCCTCTCACACTATCAAGCCTGTCCTCCCAGCCTCTCACAATACCGAGCCTGTCCTCCCAGCCTCTCCCACTATCGAGCCTGTCCTCTCAGCCTCTCACACTACCGAGCCTGTCCTCCCAGCCTCTCACACAATCTAGCCTGTCCTCCCAGCCTCTCACACTATCGAGCCTGTCCTCCCAGCCTCTCAGTTTGCCAAGCTTCTCCTCTCAGTCTCTTAATCTTCCCAGCACTTTCCCCCAGCCTCTTGATCTGCCCAGCATTTCCAAGCCGCCGAGCCACCCGAATTCTCTTCCCAGACTGCCGAGCCTGGGCCTGGAGTTCCCAAGGCTGCCGAGCCTGCCGTCGGAGTTCCCGAAGCTGCCAAGTTTGGACTGGAACGAGATTGAGGAGTGCCTGGGGGCGCCAGGTGTGCAGCAGGAGAGCCATGCACAGCCGCATACTGGTGCCACGCTGGAGATTTAGGAGCTGGTTACATCGGACATAGTCGGTATGCAGTGCCTTGAGGAGCAGTGCCTTGAGGAGCAGTGCTTGGAGGCACCACCAGATGTGCAGCAGGAGAGCCATGCACAGCTGCTCGCATGCTGGTGCCACGCTGGAGCTTTAGGAGTTGGTGACATTTGGGCATAGTTCAGTTGGTATGCGTGCAGCAACTTCAGGAGCAGTGCCAGGCGCCAGGAGAGCTGAGAGATCTCATGTGGAGCTGAGTAGCCATGCACAACCGCATACTGGTACTGCGCGGGAGCTTTAGGAGCTGGTGGGGTGACCTTCCTTCAGACATAGTTCAGCAGTATGCAGGGCCTTCAGGAGCAGTGCCTGGAGGCAGCAGATGTGCAGCTGGAGAGAGCCATGCCCAACTGCATACTGGTACCATGCTGGAGCGTTAGGAGCTGGTGACTTTCGGGCGTATTTCAGTGCGCACTATGCAGTGCCTTCAGGAGCAGTGCCCGGAGGCACCAGATTAGATGTGCAGCTGGAGAGGCATGCACAACCACGTACTGGTACCAGACCGTGTTTGGTGAGTTGTGACCAGAAACGTCTCTGCTCAGTGCGTATTTTTACCCAACATTTCCTTTAATTTCAGACTGCTAGCTACCTCAGCTCGTGTTGGTAGTAGGTACATTGATGGATTAGGGGCGTGCGTGTGCCTAAGGCCTCTTTCCAGACTAGGCCCAATCCACTGCACTACAACATGATACGATAGTAGGGAGGGAATGTTCTGGTAGATAAGAGGCTGTAAAGACGTTGCATAGTCTCCCAGCATCTCAGATGTCTAAGAGCGTGTTCCTACGAGCCTCTTCCCAGGCAACCTCTTCCCAGACTCACGCGCAACCGTGAGAGTGTGTTCCTTTCCTAGTATCAAAATTGAGAAGTGAATGTTAGATAGAGTGAGAGTACACACAGATATACCTACGTGTTGTACTCTCTAAGAGGCGACCCTATACAGTCTATACAAACATGACATATATGTCAAAAGACTGGCTTAGCTAGGAAGCCATAGAATGGCACAAGGTTTAGCTAGGAGCTAGGAGGAGCCATGAGAATGGCGAGAGGTTTTAGGTGCTAGGAAAGTTGAGGAGAGAAAAGAGTGTTGGATTAGAAGAGAGGGGAGTACAAGGAGGGGTTTGTACCCCCTACAGAAAGGTTCAGTAACAACCTACCAAGCCTATATTAAATTATAACTTATATAATTTGAACACACCCCCTAGGCTTGGTAGTCACATGCCCACACACACCCACACCCCCTAACCTAGCACCCCCATTCCAGCCACAGTGACAGCGACTCTAGGTCGGTCGACCCACGGTGCGTGAGGCGGCGACGTCGACCGCAGGGGCTGCGGCGGCGACGGCAGCAGCGGCGGCAGTGTCGACAGCGGCGGCGGCGGCGGCGTGCGGCTGCGTGGCCCCGACGCAAGCGGCGACAGCGGCGGCGGCGGCGGCTTCGACAACAGCGGCAGCGGCGGCGGCACCCGCACCTCTCGGTGACGTGGCCAGGCCCCGCGACGGTGGGACGGCCGGCGGGAGTCAGCCGTCGTCTGCGGAATGGAAGAGGGCACAGGGGAAGGAGGGGGGTGGGGGGGGGGGGGGGCGCCACAGGCTGACATGCGGGCGGCCGGTCTAGCGGCGCCACAAGCGTCACGCGGCCGGCTGCAGCCCGACGACGCCATCATGGAGCGGCGTCGATGCCGCAGCGGGGCGTCGACGTTGCGACGGCAGCACGACGTCGCCGTTACGCCGACCGCGCGCTGTCGCGTAGACGCCGCGGCAGCGTGACGGCGCCGTCACGTCGCGACAGCATCTTGACGCGACGGCGGAGCTGCGGCACGACGGCGCGGCCACAGCAGCTGGACGCGGGCGCCATGGACGTCGACGGCGGCGCCGCGGCACGACGACGCGGCCACAGCAGCTTGACGCGGCCGCCATGGCAGCGCGAGATAGAGAGAGAAACGAGCACGCAGCGGAAACGCGAGGAGCAGGCCCACACGGAACGAACTGCTCTAATACCATGTCAAAAGACTAGCTTAGCTAGGAAGCCATAGAATGGCACAAGGTTTAGCTAGGAGCTAGGAGGAGCCATGAGAATGGCGAGAGGTTTTAGGTGCTAGGAAAGTTGAGGAGAGAAAAGAGTGTTGGATCAGAAGAGAGGGGAGTACAAGGAGGGGTTTGTACCCCCTACAGAAAGGTTCAGTAACAACCTACCAAGCCTATATTAAATTATAACTTATATAATTTGAACAATATACACATGTTTGACACACCCCCTAGACTGCATAGGGGAATGCCCTAAACAAACAGCTCAGGGCGGCACTCCTAGTCCAACCTCTGAGACAAGGGTCTGAGAGACCAGTCAGAAGGAGTAAAAACAAGGCAAGAACAAGAGCAGGGCGGCACTACTAGTCCAGCCACTGGGAGAGGACACAAGTCCAGTCTGAGTATACGTATAAAGGACAGTACAAAGTCAAGGTCCTAGCAAGTGAGAGGCTACAGGAACTAGACCAAGCTGTACACAGTATCAGAATAATTGAATAAAGGTAAAGTGAGAGTACACACAAATATATCTAAGTTTTGTATCCTCTAAGAGGTGACTCTATACAGTCTATACAAACATGACAAATACACATGTTTGACACACCCCCTAGACTGCATAGGGGAATACCCTAAACAAGCAGCTCAGGGCGGCACTACTAGTCCAACCTCTGAGGCAAGGGTCTGAGCGACCGGTCAGAAGGAGTACAGACAAGGCAAGCACAAGAGCAGGGCGGCACTACTAGTCCAGCCACTGGGAGAGGACACAAGTCCAGTCTGAGTATACATATAAAGGACAGTACAAAGTCAAGGTCCTAGCAAGTGAGAGGCTACAGGAACTAGACCAAGCTGTACACAGTGCCGCTGATGATCTTTAGGCGCAAGCGCCTTCGTAAAGATATCAGCCGTGTTGGCACCTGAGGCCAAGTGTACTACGCGAGCCTGACATCGCTGCTGTAGCTCACGCAGGAGGAAGTACCGCAGCTGAATGTGCTTCGCTCTGCCCTCGAGTCGAGGCTCCTGACACAGGAGGATCATGGCCCTGTTGTCAGCGAACAGGACCGGGGCAGAGCTAGGTCGCTCACCTAAGTCAGTGAGCAAGAAGGTCAGCCAGCGGAGCTCCTGTGCCGCCATGGCACCAGCGTAGATCTCAGCCTCACAGCTGGACTGTGCAACAGACGAGGAGCGAGTAGCTCTCCACGAGACGGCACCTGAGCCAAGGCTGAAGCAGTAGCCCTGGGTAGACCGGAGTGTCTCAGCGTCGTCTGCCCACGAAGCGTCTGTGTGCCCAGTAAGGACCGCTGGCCTGCGTCCTCCTAGCACTAACCCCATGCCCGATGTACTAGCAAGATAACGCAGAACCCTCTTAGCGGCAGACCAGTGCTGCGGTCGGTGTCTACCTGTGGCCACAAAGCGAGCCAGGATGCTGAGAGGGTATGCGAGATCTGGGCGAGTGCAAGTCATCAGGTACATGAGGCAACCCACCAGCTCTGCGTAGGGGCCGCTGGGCTCTACCAACTCCTCAGGCACTGGAGCGGAGAGCCTGTGGTCTACAGGCAGAGGGGTGGGCTGTGCAGAGGAGAACTGAAGGCTGAACCTCTGAAGGACCTGGCGCACCAAGTGTGACTGAGTCAGGGTGATGGTGCGCGCAGCTCTGTCCCTGGAGATCTGCAAGCCAAGGTAACGGCGCAGTTCTCCAAGGTCAGTGCAGGTGTGTCTCTTCAGCAGCTCTGCCTTCACGGAGGCCAGCACGTCCCTGTCTGCTGTGGCAAAGACCAGGTCGTCGACGTAAACGAGGATGTAGAACGGAGTCTGGCCAGCACGAACGAAGAGTGAAGGGTCTGCAGAAGACGGAAAGAACTGCAGGTCAGCAAGCGTAGCACGCAGAGTGTCGTGCCACTCACGGGGAGCCTGGCGCAGGCCGTAGACGGGGCGCCGCAGGAGCCACTGGGTCCCAGGAGGGAAGGTGCCAGTAAAGCCCGGAGGGCGGCGCAGGTAGACCTGCTCGTGTAGGCTGCCCTGAAGGAAGGCAGTGGAGAAGTCGAGGGAGTGAAGCTCGTAGTCACGCTGAGCGGCTAGGTGTAACAGAACCCAAAGAGTAGTCATCTTCGGGGTCGGAGCGAAAGTCTGGAAGAAGTCCACCCCCTCGCGCTGACTGAAGCCTCTAGCCACATAGCGCGCCTTGAAGACAGGCGGCTCTCCAGGAGGGCGCTTCACCTTGAAGAGCCAGCGGCCATCGACTACGTTCACCCCAGGTGGGGGAACTGCGTCGACGAAGGTGCCGGTGGATCTCCAAGATGCCATCTCCCGCTCCATGGCAGCTATCCACTGCGAGGCCCAGGGTCCCGAAGTCGCCTCAGCGTAAGTGCGAGGGGTCGGGATGTCGAAAGCGTCTGGGTCACCCTCAGGGACTAGCAGCATGGAACAGAGATGGGGAGCAGCCTCGGAGAGGAAAGCAAGCTCGAACTGGCGGTCCTCCAGGACGTCACTGCCAAGGGCAGGAGCACCCCCGACAGACGGAGGACAGGCAGGGTCAGAGACCAGAGCGGTGGCGTAGTCAAGGCGGCGGGTAGAGGCGAAGTCAGCGACAGCAGCGACAAGAGCGTCAAGGCACGAGACTGGAACAGACGGGTCGGTAACGAGAGAGGCAAGGACCCGAGGAACGAGGGGACGAGAGGCACGAAGGTAGTCGGACAGCGGGGGGGGCGCAACAACAAGGGAGGACGGAGGAGGCGACGGCAGAAGGGGAGGACGAGACGCGTGTGAACGAAGCAACATAGGGTGGGAGCGCAGGACAGGCGAGGCAGGACGAGCACGGGAGGGACGGTGAGACCAGACGTGCGAGGGAGGAGTCGGGTCAGGAGACAGGGGAGGGGACACAGGAGGTGAACGAGGGGGGAGACGGGCCGGGGACGAGTCCGGCGGAGGGAAAACAGGGCTGTAGACAGGAAGAGGAGGAGACGGTCGGGGAGGAACCGACGCAGGGTCGGGGGACGGAAGGCCGAGCAGGCGAAGGGCGGACACCGGCGGGGACTGCTGCTGCGGCGGCACAACGGCGACACCTGGACCGCAAGCTGCTCCTCGGCTACCACCGGCACGCTCCACACCCGCACCCCTAGAGGGACCACCCTCAGGGCAACCGGGACGAGCACCCCCAGAGTCAGCGAACGGGGGCTGCGACTGCGGCGGCGGCGGCGGCGGCGGCGGCGACGGCGACAGCTGCAGTGGCGGCAGGGACGGCGGAGGAGGGGACTGGGGAGGGGACACCTGGGGAGGGGCGGCCGGCGAGGACTGCACCGGAGGGCCACCAGAGTCAGAAGACTCCTCAACCGGGTCCACGGACGGAAGGGGGGTGACATGGGAGACACCAGAGGGGGCGGGACGGGGAGGAGGAGGAGGAGGGGCAGGGACTACCGGGGAAGGGATGACCAGGAACAGGGGGGGGGTAACCGGGGGACCACGGTGGGGGAAGCGGCGGTAGTAGGAGACGGACTCGTCAAAGGTGACGTCACGAGAGTGAAAGAAGCGGTGAGACGGCGGGTGGTAAAAGTGCCAGTCGGACGCGTCAAGGGGAAAACCGAGGAAGACGCAAGGAAGGGTGCGGGCAGTGAGCTTGTCCGTGCCGGAGGCACGGACGTGAGCAAGGCAGCCCCAGACGTGGAACGCAGACGCGTCACCAGGAGACCCAGTCCACAGACGGGTCGGCGAAACCTGCGGCTGCTGAGGGTGCGGCCACAGGTTAAGCTGGTGA